CCCAAAAATAATTAAAAATTTGTAAAAATTAAAATAATACATTCAAATTAGTTATTTTTATCCGAACTATCCGAATATTTCTAAATATATCGGAACTAACCAAATAAACCAAAAAATAATAGAGAAAATTTGTCAAATGTATCCAAATTATCTTAATATATCCAACTTAGAACCAAATATCTATGAATTAATTTGAAAATTTGTTAAGGGTATTTCGAGTACACTTTATTTTCGGTTCGGTTCGGTTCGATTTTTTTATTTACGGTATTTTGTCCACGTCTATCTTACACCTTTTGATTAGACCGGTGGGCGTTTTGGCACCTTTTTGTGCATCTATCTACAGTTCGAACTCAGGTTAGTGGCGAAAAATGAGAATGTCCTAAAAAAATATCTTCACTGGTGTCCGTCCATACGAATCTAAGTATACAATGTTTATTTAGTGGGGTAGGTCACATGATAATTCTTGACTGGCTCTAGCCGGTTGCAAAAAGTGGAATGTCAGAAAAATATCGAAGATCATGGATTTTAACGAGTAAAATGAAGCCACATGTACAACAGAGATTGAACCCCAGCCATTCAACTAGTCTCTCTCTCAGCCTTTCAGGTCGAAATCTTTCCTCATCTGTCTATCTGATCTGACGGCTCACGTCCGTTCTTACTTTCCTGAAATTTAGGAATTATTATTATTCACACAAAATTCATTGAATACAAACAGACAGAATAATCAAGCTGGCCACATTTTCGTGTGATTATTTACGTTGTCATGTAATCCTTCTGTTTCAAAATATAACTTGTTTTACTTAAAAATACGCATATTAAAAAATATCATTTAATATATTTAATAAAAATAATTTGATCAATTACATAAAAAACTGCAAAGTATTAGTGGTTACACAATATTCAATAAAGTTAAAAAATACATAGTATTGTCAAAACAACTTACATTTTAAAACAAAAAAAATAGTTAAAACAATTTCCATTTTTAAACGGAGGGAATAGTATATTACTTATATGTAAAATTTTGAATTTTAAAATGTTTGTAAAAGTTGTTGATTGCAAAATATAACATCATTACAAATATTTGAAAATCTGATTTAATTGGTATGAAAAATATGATTTTGATTGGAAAACAAAATAAAATCAACAATTTAATTTGCTTGAATCTATTCAGTAAGTAAAATCCATAAAACTAAACCACCACTTAAAATCCATGTTAGCATATAATTGGTTAACTTCGGTTTAATCCTCCGGTTTTGGGAAATGGTGGCTGAAGTTTCGCGGGCTTAACCGGCCCAATCCTAATTTTGTAAAGCCTATTAAAAGTATACAAGTCGAGAAAGTGGCGATTCAAAACTTTAAATCCTAGAGAGACGAGGGACGATCAACAAGAGATGCGAGAAATCCGAATTGGTCGGGACTTCACTCCGATCTATTGTCGTTGATTCTGAAGCGCACAATGGGAGGCGATTACATTGCTTATTGCAGGACGAGAGATGAAGAATGGAGAGAGATTCCGAGACGCAATGGGTGTTTAGATATGGCCTATAAGGATAACATTCTTTACATGTGTAATTTCAATGGTCGCATCAGAGTCTTGGGTTTCGATGATTCGGGTTCTTTTGGGGATGGGGAAAAATGGGAGAAAGTTTATTCTTTTGGGGAAGAGGAAGCTCTCGTTTGGGATTTGAATGTCACTTTGCCTACCAAAGGTGTAACAGGAATCCAGAAAGACTCAATTTATTTCTGTCATACTTATAAGTTTCGTCGGGAAGTCGCTGCCTGTGCAATGACTACGCAGAGTCTCCATCCATTTGGACCACCTGACCTTGGCCTCGGAGATGCTCGCTGGTTCATTCCTTCTTTTTCTTCTGCTGAGCGATGATCCCTGGCAGTGTAAGTTTCTTATATTATTTGAAAACAATATCGAAATAGATTTAAATCGTTATTTGAACCCATAAGGTCATTTTTATGCTATCTTCCCAAAATTTTTGATGAAGGGATTTTTTTTTTGTTTATTGTGGATTAGTTATGGTTGTGATCTTTAATTAAGTTGGCTAAAACAATGTAGTGTTCATAAGAATGTTATTGGCTCAGATTGTGTCAATGATCATGGACATGATGCTGTCTGCTACTTTTGATGATTATACTCTATTTTTGTATAAACTTACATGATGGAGTGGGATTTTCATTGATTGATGAATCCATATTGTTTGGTAGTGGTTGTAGATGAAATAATGAAATTGACTTCTGATTTATCACTGATCATGTGAGGGACAAACTTCTCCCTATGGACAGAGGGGAGCACAAAGATGCTTCCAGGACAAGTGAAAGAATCAGACTCGGAGTTGAGGTTTGGAGCTTTGGTCGACGGTTTAGATAACCAGAAGACAATGTTGAACAATACATGTCTTCTTCTTGTTCTAGCGGTAGCAGAAAAGAAGTTGCAGATTAAGAAAGCAAGCAACACCGAGAAATGCAGCAATTGTCATTTCAATCGATAGGAAAGAATCGCAAAATGGTATTCTGGGTTCGGCTTAATAATTGGTTTGTCTTGATTTTCTTCCTTGTTCATCATGTTCATATTCTCTCGACGTCCTGATTGCTTTTCAATAACCAAATGCCAATAAGCTCTTAGCTTGGTATCTAATTGCTGTGAGAATCTCCAACTAACGAGGTAAGTTTACTTGATTCCCTTCAACATTACAACTTATATTTATAGCAGCTAACAAATGTTTTAATTTTTCACACCAATTCAAAATGCTAAACACATTTCTCTTTCTGTAGCTAAAACGTCGATTTTGTAACTGAAGTTTTTGGATTTGGTGTTTCAAGAGTGTAGGCTGTGTCTGAAATTTGATGTTTTGGGATTAGAAACTCCCTAATCATCTCCTACCTGACTCGTTTTGGTTTGTTTCTCCGAAACTCTCCGCTATTGATGTAAGTTTGTTTTACTTTGGAAATAGTAAAAACAATACAAGAAAGTTAAAGAACAACTTTGTTCTCCATTTCGAGTCTGGATTACCGTTATAGACAAAGAAGTTAATGAAAAGCCTTTCTAACAAAATTTGAGTAATAACCATAGAATCGAGCCTTACAATATCTAAAGCAGAACAACTTGAGCACTGTAACTAGTCTACACACAAGTCTTGTCACATACCAAACTGAATTTGTTGACTCCAAGATACTGGCACTGCGCTTCCACGAGTCCTACACAAGAGATGGAGAAAGGACATGAGCTTACACCAAACCAAAAAAAAAAAACAGATCAAATTCGTTTTGATGAACATTCTAGCTTACCAAATTGCAACTGTTCTTGTTTTGTCGATTAACGATAAACATTTCTTCCAATTCCAAGATTTCAGTAATTACTACGAACGGAAGCCTAAGTACCTAACCATATCCAAACTTGAACAAATTGAGCATAGTAACTAGTTCATACGCCAACTTACATTGTTGACTCCAAGATGTTTGCAATGTTGTTGGTACGATACCTACGCAGAAGATAGAGAAAAGGCATCAACCTATGCACCAAACCCAAAAACAGATCAACCCTAGACATCTCCTGCGTGACTCTCAGTGCCTTGGCCACCACGTAACTCCCAGACTCATTCCTCGCCAGCCTTATCAACTTTCTCCGTCGCACTGCAAAAGCT